ATGTCCCTTTTAAACAGTTCTCTCCCTCATCAGTTTCAATGCAATATACATCATTCCTCCCCTCTTTTTCTGTCTTCCCTCAACCCTGATGTCAGTCCTGTTTTACAACAGTGGCACTATGCAGTATTTGTCCTTTTGTGACTGAGATATTTCACTCGGCATAATATCCTCCAGGCCATTTTGAATATTTCATGAGTTCCTTGTTTTACAATGCTGCATAGTATTCCATTGTGTGAATATTCCAGAGCTTCTCTATCCATTCGTCTGCTGATAAGCACTTGGGTTGTTTCCAGGTCTTTGCTATTGGGAACAAAGCTGCAATAAACATGCGTTTGCATGTATTTGCTTGGGTGGCGTTTGTGGTTTCCTTAGGGTAAATTCCCAGTAGTGGAATTGCTCAGTCAAATGATATTTCTATTTGCAACTTTTTGAGCAAGTGCCATACCGCCTTCCACACAGTGATGGCACCATTTTATACTCCCACCAACAGTGAATAAGGGTTCCAGTTTCTCTACAACCTCATCAGCATTTGATGTTTGCTGTTCGTTAAATTTCGCTATTCTGAGGTAAGATGCTCTCATAGTTGTTTTGATTTGCATCTCTCTTAGAGCTAGGGATTTTGAACATTTCTTCATGTGTTTGTTTGCCATCTGAATATCTTGGGTGAAGTGTCTGTGCCCATTTCCAATTTGGTTTACTTATATCTTGTTGTGGTGCTCGAGTATATTTAAAATTATAGATATAAATCCCTTGTCAGACATGTCATTACCAAATATTTTTTCCCTATCTGTAGCTTCCCTTTTTACCCTGTTGGAGAGAAGTTTTTGGATGTGCATAAGGATTTGATTCTTAGAAAGTCCCATTCATCTATTTTATCATCTCCTGGTTGCAGATTTTTATAGGAAGACTGCTTATGTTGTGGATCAGGACTTCTAGAGTTCTTCCAAGCTTTTCTTTAATGAAGTTTATAGTCCTTGGTTTTAGTCCTAGGTTCATAATCCACTTTGAATTGGTTTTTGTTTATGGAGTGAGATGTGGATCTTGCTTGAGTTTTCTGCACAGTTTTCCAATTTTGCCAGCACCATTTGTTAAAAAGGGTGTCATTTCCCCACTTAACTGATTTCATCTCCTTGTAAAAAATCAGTTGACCATAGTTAGACGGGCTGATTTCCGGGTTCTCAATTCTATTCCTTTGATCTATGTATCTGTCATTGTACCAGTACTACGCTGTCTTGACCACCACAGCTTTTCCAGCTACCTTTAAGAGCTGCAGCCTGCAGACACCTGGCCAATCACTGCAATCACATCACTGGGCTGGACCAGCCATCCTTCAAGTCACCAAGCCACAAGGCCTCATCTACAGATTAAGAATTTGTTCATCTCCACAACCAGTGAGCCACTTCCCTGATGGTTTTTAGTGTCTCTGAGACTTTCCAACAGATTATGGATCCCAAACATATAGACAAGAGGACAGAGGGAAAGAGAACAGTTTATGTTAAGAGATGACGGAGTGGTAAATCAATTTGGAAAAGCTGGGCATTGGGACAATTTTAACTTCTATTTCATAGGAACCAGTTTTATACCAACTCTCTTAAAGGAGTTATTTGTGTACACTTAAAACTTACTCAGAACTTACTCAATGTCACAGACCCACAAACCCCAGGACAGACAGAACACAGAGAGAACCTGGCCATTCACAACCTCAGAGTCTACAGCACTCCTGACGACATCGATGGCAACCACTCCATTCAAGAGCAGAACACGCACTGAGATGCATACCCAACAGTCCCTAGGATGTGCTGGTCGTGCAATGGAACTCAACAGAGTCAATGCTGAGTCCAGAGGAGCAAAATGATTTATAGGGCGGGACAGACACTTCTTATCCATGTTAAGGGACCAAAAAAGGTAAAAAAAAGCTATTGCTTATAACTATTGTTGTGTGCTGTTGAGTCAGAACTGACCCATAGCTGACTTTGCAGAGGGTTTGCAGAGATAATAAATTGCACAGAAGGAGACTGCCCATCCTCCCACGGAGCAGTTGGTGGGTTTAAACCGCATGACTTTGGGACTGCAGCACAGCTTCTTACCACTAGGCCACCACAGCTCCCTTAGCAGCTCTAAAAACTTGGAGAGGGACATCATGCTTGGAAAGGTGGAGGGACAGCACCTCAGCCAGGTGTGCTGACACAGGGACTGTTGCAATGGGCTTGGTGTCAGATTGTGAGGGCGGCACAGGATAGGACAGGGTTTGGATTTGTTGTTCACAAGGTTGTTATGAGTCATATTCAACTTGACAGCATCTGACATCAACAGTAACAACTGGTTTATAATAAGGAGCAAACAATCCTACTCCCCAGGTGTCCTCTCTCCAGTCACAAGAAATTACCTGCTAGAGAGCCTGATGGTCAGTTTCTGGGCTAGCGCTTTACACAAGGACGTTTTCCCAGTTCCTGGAGGACCTGTAACAAACGTGTGTTCAAGTCAGAGCTGTGACAAATTTCCACAAACGATACTAGTTACACTACATAACACTCGTTCCACGGAGTGATTTCTGACTCAAAGAGACCCTACAGGACAAAGCAGAACTGCACAGAGAGTTTCTACAGATACTTTAATGAAAGCTGGAAAATTAATAAAGAAAAGCAAGGAACTGATGACTCTAAATTGTGGTGTGGGTGAAGAGTCCCACGACTGTCAAAAGAACAAGTCTGTCAGGCAGGAAGTGCAACTCGAGTGCTCCTTATAAGCAAGGGTCATGAACTTCATCTCACATAGTTGTAGTTGGAACAGGCTTTGGAAGAAGACATCAGTTGGGCAAAGGGGAGGGTCAAAGAAAGAAGATCCTCAAGAAAGAGTGACATAATAACGCTAACAGTGTATCAGAGATCATGAGGACAGACTATGGGTCAGCTCTGTAGCTCAGTGGGTTGCTACGAGTCTTGGTTGACACAAAGGCAAGTAACAATAATAATCTGCACTGAAGCCAAATGTTTCATCTTTCTCTGAAAACTAAAACTCACCCTCTACATATGTCTTTCCACACTCCTGGGCCCAACGCTATCCTTTCTGTTCACACGGCCTCTTAAGCACCCTAGGTCTCTTCTGTCATCTCCTCCACAAGGCCTGTCCCAAGCCAATCTGGTCCAACCAGGGCAGCAGGGTGGCTTTACTGTGGGTTGACCACACTGAGGTGTAGGTGTAGTACCTGTGCCCGCCTCCCCACAGGTGTCTGTCTCCTCCAACCAAGCAGGTGTAGGCAGGCCACGGCAGCCATGATGCCCTACCGTCCACCAGGTATCTGGCTAGACTATGACAGTCCTACAGCCCTACCATGTGCCCCAACACCGATGTGCAAGGTTTCTTGTACCTGTTTCTTCGTACATCTGTAAAGTGCTGTAAGCAAAGTCTGCCTTGCCAACACTGCAAGGACCCCGACAGTAGCTAGGCCCACAGGGCACAGAGGTGCTTTATGTGACTGCAGGGAACATGTGCTGCCCACGTAGCACGGCCTAGTTAAGACTTGACTCAGCACTGCTCCAGAGCAGGCCCGTGGCTCTGTGGGCAGTATCTGTCTGCAGGTGGTCCTCTCTGTACTCCCTGTCAAGCCTACACCTGGACAGTCCACAGACACGGCTGTCCCTGTAGGTCCCGTATGAGCCGGAAGGGCCAAGGCTAGTCTCACTGTTCACTCCCTCCCCTGCGGGTGGGACCAGGGCTAGCCCTACTGCTTATTCACTGTGTAGTGAGAGGGAGGCTAACTTTGAGTGGGCCAACAGAAAACGGTGTTGAGTACAGAACACAAACACCAGCTCCACCTCCTGCAGCACCATCCGTAACCAAAAGGAAGCCAGGCACCTGGGTTAATGAAGGCAGCACCGACCCATCAGCTGTACGCGGACTCCCCACTGGCCCTGCACCTGGACAGCATGCCACCTGTGTCTGCCAGTCCTGACTAGGAGGCTATTAGGTCAATATGACCCAGGTACCCCAGGAGGTGCCACTTGACTCCTCTCCATTCCTGTCGGCACCAGTCACGTCTACAGAGAAGTATCAGGACTTGGGACAACGTGGTCTGATGCTTCTGCTCACTGTAAGGACCCTCTCCTGATGACAGAGAGAATGAAGCGTTATCAAACGGCTGCAACGAGACAAAAGAAGCCACAAGCCACTCAGCTACTAAACAGGGTCCAACAGTAAGGACTAGACTCATAGGAGCTTGGCTTAGTTCATACAAAGGAAGAGAAAGAGATGCTAGCATAGGAGGCCGGGGTGGGGGAAGTGGACCAGCTTTCCACAGTGGTTTCATGAAACAAAACAAACAGCAGCTTTACCATGTAGCAAAACAACGCGGTTCCAGGTCACTAGGTTGCTGTCAACGTTTTTTTCTGAAAACAGCACGGTTGTCATGACGTAATCAAGGAGCTGATTAAGGGAAACAAAGTTGATTAAAAGACCACAGAGCAAAGCTTCCTGATGAACACATGTTACAGGGCTGCTCCAGTGTGGGAGGTGGCCCAAAGGCCACCTGTGGAGACCCCATCTCCAGACTTGCTTCAGCCCTGGGAGGCTTTCATTTGAAGCAGCATGAAAAACCATGAACTAAAGGCGAGGACCTTTATCACAGAGGACAAGCAGGAGGTCACTGCATCTGCAACACCAATGATGAAATGATCCTGCAGGATTTACAATAAGACGCCTCCTCTGCCCTCTAAGAGGGGTTGGCAAGGATAAGGTGTCAAATGACACTAGACACGCCACTGCCAGGACCATGTCCTCAGGGCTGCCAAGAGCAACAGAAGCCACTGCAGCCCCTTGGATGGTGCCAGTTTGGCCCTGCCCTCATCTGTAATTCAGATGGACTGTCTTCACAGTCCCTTTCTTTCTTCAGACCACGGGCTGCTGGTGTCAGAAACTCCCAAAGCCCCATCCTCACCCCCAAGTCCCGCAGGGCTTTGTGGAAGAGACACAGTACAGAGTCTACTTTGAGGGACATTGATTTTCAGGAAAAGCGACAACAACTTACATGTGACTTAACCTCCACGTCATACACCAGGCTGTCCCACAGACCATGGAACTCCACTGTCAGAATAAAACGAGGGCATGATTTCAGAGGTATGTGCATCACAACCTGTGTGTGGTTGGCACCTGGGTTCCCAGCAGCCAAACAGCAGGGCTGTGTCTAAGTACATGGAGTTAAAAGTTTTCAAATTTTCTTACAAGTTTACTTATTTTAATATTAACAACTAATAACGCGAGTCGATGTGACCGAGAGTTGGTAAAGTGGAGTCAGCTGGGATTCCTGCCACTGGATCTCAAGCACAGCTGTCCCTTACGGGACTGACCCCCTCACAGCAGGGCTCTGGCAGCTCCACGTGGGCATACACGCTGACAGTTAACCTTGCTGCTGTCATGGTGCAAACTCCACAGGGAACACCAGGAGCGGCCAAGAGGGGCCCAGCAGGGCCACTGTCAGCCTCACAGCCAACACACTAAGGACAAGCCCAAGGACTTCGGACAGTCTGTGTTGTTCCTGTTTCTGACACCCTCACGCACTGACCCTTGGAAGAGCCCACTTTCAGCTGGCATGCACAGGTCACAGGCGGCCCCTCTGTCCTCCTTACCCGCAGGGAGGATCCAGTGGTTTGCTGCTATGATGTTTTCGGTCTCTTCCTCCAGGTTTTCACTGCTGGGACCATCTTCATTCAGCTGGAAGACGTGCAGTGCAACTGTGCATGTGCTCAAATCAATAGGCTTCAGAAGAGAGAAGATGACTGAACACCGAGACATGGATGGCCAGAGTGATCACCACAGCAATCCAGGACTAAACCCACAGAGACATCACACTGCTCCTGA